CAGCAGGTATTAATTCTAGTTTAATTTGAGGGTCAAGAATAGCAGCTATAAATGCTGTTTTGTCATAAATTTCATTAGCATATTTTTGTACTTTTTCAGACATTTGAGTTGCAGCTATTTCGAGAAATTCTGGACTTTCTAAATTTTGAATGCATGATGAAATATTATTGACAATATCTTTGATAAGTATAATTAAAATTTCTAAAGTCATATATGTGCTACTAGAAAGAATGTTAGTAGTGTCATAAAATGGCTTAAGAAACTGTGCTGTGGCTTGAAGATTGGTTTCTTTTTGTGGGATGAATTTAAATTTATTAAGACTTTTATTGCGTCTAATTATAGCTGAAATCATTGTAGGCATAGTTATGTAGGTTGAAAGTATAAGATAAGTACTGTTCCAGTGGGTTGAAACATCCTGTGGAATTTTACAAGTTGCTTCACCTTCACCAACTGATTGTCTGAGTTCTTTAAAATCTTGGGTTATAGATGATGATGATGAGATGATATTAACAAAATTATGCACTTTTTCAATTGACTGTTTAATAGGTGATAAACTAGCTGTAATAATAAGATTTAAGATATATACCAAGCAGTGATGAGATTAAGAGTGAAAATTATAATTTTTTAAAATCAAATTATCTTTTAACAATTGCATTGCCAAAATCATATTAGAACCTCCATCGGTAGTAGCACAAAGAATCTTGTCAGTAATGTTAAAAGCCGCAAGAACAGAATGCAATTTAGCATTAATTTCATTACCCATATATGGATGAGGGAGCATACAAATATCAAGTAAAATTTGCTTAAGGTTCTAGTCACTATCTATCCAATGTGCTGTGATACAAATAAAATGGACATTAGCACAAGAGGTTCAAATATCTAACGTAATGAAAATTTTACTAGAAATTTGTTCAAAAAGAAACTGAATATCTTTTTGCATTACGGCAAATGCTTTTTGAATGATAGACTTAATAACATCACGTGAAGGCAAGTCTATACTAATATTGAGATATCAGATCATAGTAGCAAATGATTAGCTTGAAACAATTGAAAAAGGTAGAGTATCTGTTATAATTCATTTAGCTACTAACATATTAAATTTAGTTTTTTGAGCCGTTGTGAGGGTTTGTTTTGAAATTGTAGCTTCAGGTGTAAATGTAAGAACTTGTTGAATTGGCAATGATTTGTTTGTTTTCCAGCCTGTATGTTGAGAGTCAAGGTGTTTATATAAGTTACTAGTAGCTATAGTTATGCTGAATTCACTTTTACAGATACTGCAAATTACTGACTGATTATCAATAGTTTTTTGTAAAAAATAAGGTCTAATAGGAGAGGGAAGTTTAGTGCTAGGTCTTTTTAAAACAATAGGAATGTCAAATATGATATTCACACTATTGCTTGTAGTAGTGACATATTTAGCCATATTGTTATCAGAAATTTTCAAAAAGATCATCAGTATCCATCACAATATATGTTTGTAGAGGAGTTAGAGTTAATTTTTAAATCGAATATGAATTGGGCAGCTATGTTTTGAGCTTTTTTTATATTTGAGCAATGGTCTAGAAAATATCAGCTGAGAATTTGAGGATTCTCTAACTGATCATCAAAATAATTCATGATAAAACTAATTATCAGTCAAGAATTCTCAAATTCCCAGACTGATATTTTCCTAGACTGTTGCATATTTACTAAGCACCATTATGCAAAATCTATATTAAGAAATTATTCGCACTTTGAATTAGATTTTTTTGAAGCTATGACTGTAAGGTTTTTCCTTTTTTTTTTTATAAAAAATTTAATTTTTTTTTTACTCTTCATATAAATTTTATGCTTAACCTACTATCGAGCTATGTAAAGATGGATTGGCTAATAATCAAGCCAGATTAACGTGATTTTCTCAAGCCAGTTATCTAGTTTAAAGTGGCTTTGCTTCAAACTATGGCTAAAGTTCTAAAGCCATGGCTGGCTTGATTGTCAGCTTATCTTATTCCTACTACCAAGTCAATTCATGATTCAAATTGCTGATAAATTTTCAGAAAACCAGTTGATAGTATGCAAATGACTTCAAAATAAATAGAAGATTTTCAGTGAATTGGTTGATGATATGCGAATAACCTTAAATATAGTAAGAACTTATTATTCAACAAGGTTCAAAAAAATGCTGATAGATTTTAGCAAAATGGTTAGATACAATAGTTTGTAAATGATTACTAAAATTAAATCAAATGGGAGTGTCATTAGTCTTTTATTGCTTAAACTGATTTATTTAATACATTTTAATTTATTTAAGGGTTTGCCATATATTATAATTATGTATAAATAAAGAAGTAAAAAAAAAAAAGTAAATTAAAACAAAAATAAAGTAAAAAAATGAATGCATAAACGATAAAAAGTGAATTAAAATGCAATTGGGTCACTATAGTTATTAGCATTCAAAGAAACTTTGATTTTTTTTACTTTACTTAGCTACTTAGAAAATCTTTTAATTATTTAAAAAAGTGTGATAAAGTTGAGCATAATTTAAGTCATGATACTAATAGTTAACCATTTTTGAAGCTGATACTTTATTGTATAGAACTGTAGGCCTATAGCCAAGCTAATGATCAGCTTCAAGATCTTAGCCAAGCTATTTTTAAAGCCAATACCTTATTAGTAGACCCATAGCCTAGCCGATGGTCAGCTCGGCTTAGCCAATTGGCTCACGGCTCAGCTTTAGCCATTAACATCACTACTAATGAGACCGATCAAATAATACTTACAATTCAGTCTAGTTTAGTTATACAGTTTCTAAATCAGTCTTTGATCTCTGCAATACAGTCAGAGATTTTTCAAAGTTGTGTAATGCAGATCATTTCATTTTTTGGACTGCGTTGTTACACTTTTGATATTTAGTACACAACCACCTTATAAAGCCTCAGAGATCCCTAAACTACATAGCTTCAGAATTCTTTTTGTAAAAAAATTTTAAAAGTTTTTTTAAAACTGATTATTATTTTCAGATAATAAAAAATGCTTTTGTTTTTTAAATTGAAATAGGTTTTAGAATAACCTACTAATATATTTGCAGATCATTTCCATATGGTGTAAAATCCCTGACTGCAATACGTACATTATATATGAAATTACATTTTTGATTATATGTATTAATTAAAAATACATGATATCAAAAAAGAAAAAAAAGCAAAAATAAAGCCTTCACCTTGTTAATTATTATCATTATTTAAGATTTTAATACAAGAATACAGTAAAATTTAATAACAAATAATATATTTAATACCAATGCTAATATTAAAAAAAAACAATATTGATTTATACATTTCCGTTAACAAACTTTATTTTGAAACCAACTTTTTAAACATAAAATTGCCCTTGCTGAATCACCTTCTAATCTACTTCTTTCTTCTGAAATAGTTTGACGGCAATAGAAAATGCTTGTTCCAAAGCTACACTTGTAGCTTGAATAGATAAGTAATCTCTTGCAATTTTTTTTAAAGTTGGATATTCATTTTGTACTTGCTACCAAAGTAATAGATCAATATTATCCTCTAAAGGTGTCATCAAATATTTTTCTAATTCTTATTTAATATTATATAATGGTTTATTAGCTGATGGTTCAGAAGAAGCAAAAAAATTATTATTATTGGGATTTTTTAATTGATGAAAATAATTTCTTGTACTTGTAATATCATTATTAATTGAAACCTTTGTTGTTAATTGTAGTGTTGAAAAATATTCTGTTATAGTATATATTTTATTTTTTATTCTACTCATCTCCAATTCATCTTTAAAAGTAGATGATTTAACTCTTGGATCAAATAATGAAGATATCTGGGATGTTTTATCTAAAATAGGCCAATAAATATCCATTTTTTGCTGAATTGAATTTGCCATTAAATATTGTGAGAGTTTATTATTATTTATATATTGAGTAAGATATTCTTGAAGTACAAAAAAAACAAACTGAACATTACCATGAATTTGATATTTAGATTCAGAAAGTAAATATATAGCATGTTCAAATAGTTCTAAAAGAACTACTGTATCATTAATAATTATTCGATTATTATTATTAGAATAGTATTTACAAACTAATTGGTTATTAGCTGCAAATAAGTTTAAAGTTGCTTTCATCTTTTTCTATTTTTCTAGCATATAAAATATCAAATTCTATCTCATTTTAATATCTATCTCAGGTGTTAAGTATTTTATTTTTTTAATCTTATATAATACTTTTAAAGTATCATTAATAGGCTGTGAATTTTTAATACAATTCATTAAAAATTTAATTTTTTCATTAAAATCATTAATTAGTTCAATTTCTTGTTCTATAGCCAAGTTAGAACATGTGCAATATATCAATAATATGCAAAAGAAAAATTTTCAAACTTGTTTTCAAGCTTTTTAGTTATTGCCTTACTACATGTTATTATTGATGAAGCATTATTAGTTGTTAATGCTAAAGTTTTATCTGCAAGATTAAATTCATAAAGAACTCTTAAAAGATTGTTTGCAATATTATATCCAGTATGCCATATATCTATAGGAATTATGTCAGAAAGAAAATTTTTTAATTGCAAAGAAGTATCAATATAGTAAATAGTAAGACTAAGAAATGCTATTTTCTGTTCATATATCTGATGTTAATGATACTTTTTTTGGAATATTATTTAATACTATTTAATATTTTCTTTTTTTCCTTTATATAATTTTACAATATTATCTTTCAAGATATGCCTATTATGAAATTAATATCTTAGATCAAATTTTTGCTATCATTTCTTATTCTCAACAACACTAAATGCCTGCAAATCACACACAACCTATTTTATAACACTTGCATCTCTTTTATACTGTTCAATTTTCATATAAGGATTAATTAAATAATTATTTTTTGCAACTTTTAACTTAGGTACAATTATATTATATAAAGCCAAGTGTCACTATAAGGTTAAGGTTGCTGATAAAGATTCAAAAGCATCTTTACATTGTTTTCAAACAGATTAGCTAGGATACTTTGATGTTTCAGTATCAAAATATAGCTATATAGACAGTTTAAAATTTTTTGGCAATGAGGGTTTATTAGAAAGTGTTTGTGTATTTAAAATTAAATTTTCAATACTAATATCGCTATTATTTTGTAAATTATCTAAATCAGTATAGTTATAATATTTATCACTTTGTGGATTATCAGATGATAATAAACTCTGAATATTTATTATGATGATTTTATTGTTAAGAATTGAAAAGAAGAATGTTTATTCAATATAAAAAGCATAGAATTACTTAATTTTCAAAGCAATTAATATATTTAATAAAAAGAAATCTTTCAATTTATAAGATTATTTTATTGTGTAATTATTACATAAATAATATTTTACTAATTATTACAATAATTAATATCTTTGCAAACTATTATATAAATTAATGTCTTTGTTAATTATTAAATAAATAAATGTCTTCATTAACTATTAAATAAATCAATATTTTAGCTAATTATTATATAAATTAATAATTTATTTGCTAATTATTATATAAATTAATAATATATTCGTTAATTATTAAATAAATGAATTTTTTCTTTAATTATTACATAAATTATTATCTTTTCTAATTATTATATAAATAATATTTCCACTATCTTCACTAAATATTAAATAAATTAATATATTAGCTATATAAATTAATAATATTTTTACTAATTATTACATAATTAATAGTTCGCTAATTATTGATAAATTAATATATTTGCTTACTATTAAATAAGATAAATAATTAGTTTGTCATGCTTTTGTTGATTATTTACTAATTATTAAATCATTCTTGTGTAGTTTGTATTTTTTAATTCCTACTATTAATTAATTAGTCTGGACTAGTCTATACTAGTCTAAGATCAGAAACTGAAAAACCTTCAGTCTCAGTCCAAAAACTAGTCCAGACTGGTCTTTTTTGAGACTAATCTAACTCTAATAGGGTTATTAATTTAATGTAAATTACATGTAAGTTGTTGTAACTTACACTATAACTTATCTGACTTAATGTAAATTATAATAATTTATATTATAAATTATAGTAACTTATATATAACTTACACAGGTTCAATAAATACATAAAGGATACATACCGGGATCCCTTTATTATCCCGATATCTATCCTTTATTTATCCAC